TTACCTTTTTTCGTCTTACACTTCCTCGACGAGGTGATCGACATGAAGTTTTGGCGCCTCTGTTGACACTGTCGTCAGGGCAGATACTATACACAGTCACCAGCGTAAGCATAAGATGCTCCATTACGTACCAGCCATTCCCTGAACGCCTGCCGTTAGGCGTTACGAAATGACAGGAGCCTATAATAGTGACGCGGTTGCGCTGTAGCATAACCTGGATCAACCAGCGAACGTGTTCGTGGTTGTTGAATGGACGACGCAGTGCTACCAGGTGTAATGGGTCATCTTACGCTTCTACTGAAAACAAAGTAGAGGTCTGCATGTGAGCTGACAAAGCACAGATATGTGCGCTTGGACTTCACGTACACCTACCTGTGCGCAGGAAATGTGCGCCAACAAAACAAAAACAGATTGGGTGAACAAAACTAGGACTTGTACCATGTGACGGGGGATAACACGTTTTAGGAGATAATAAAAGATACCATTATGGACACAGCGTTGGCAGGTGCCTCATGTATCACGTACACAAGAGTTCGAAGGAATCGATACAAATGATGATCACAATACGTAAATAGAAACGACCTGTCTTTCAAGATATTTAATCTCGTCAGCATAAAGATGTCCGACTTTTGCTAACTGTACCCATATATATATATATATGCATATGATGAAACATGAAATGTAGCTTGTGCCCATCACCCATTGCACGCGTCCAATATTATTGGTCTTTTGCTGGCTGATGTAATAGTCCAAATCCACCTATCAGGAGAAGTTGCGGAACATTACATGACACGTAATGTTGAAACATACGATAACATTCCCATCGGCATGAACTGGTGTCAATATCATGGGTCGGGCTCGACACATTACACATTTATTGTGAATATTATCCGGTCTTCATCATAAATCCATCCGAACCTTACCTTGACCGCATCAGACTGCAAATATTGGTGCTTATGAGTTGTCCATCACTCATTGCGCGCATCGATGATCGATTGGTAAGCTTGTGGACTGATATCATGGCGTGTATCAGCCAAAAGGAGTCGAAAATCGTCGACTGCTGTATACTCTTTTCTATTTAGAATCGGCATGATTTTCACAGAGGGTAAAATACAAAAATGACCCATTTAATCCTGAAATTAATAAAAATGCACCAGACAATTGAAAAATTATAAAAATGCCTTACGTCCTAATATACTCAAGTTAGTGTGGCACACAGAAAACCACACGTTCCTAATCGCTTTCGTTTACCATTTTACGGCCGTGACCAACCCCTGCCCGTTTCGGGAAGCCGCAGAGAGGGTTCTGCCGCGGGCGCGCTGCGCTTGCAGCCACCAGTTGTAGAACCCTCTCCGCGGCCCGGCCCCAAACAGGGCGGGGGTTGGTCACGGCCAGCCCCAGTCGGTCTGTGCTAATATTGTTGATACTGATGTTTTATCGCTTTTGGTATTGTTCTTTCAGTAGCTATTGTTGATGTTGTTGCTACTACTGGTGATGCTACTGCTGTTGCTGCTGCTGTTGCTGCTGTTGTTGTTTTTATTGTAGTTGCTGCGCTTGAGTTGTTGAAGTGTGGCTGCATCATGATTCTCGACATGATAGGCACTTCTCAAGAGTAGTGTGGTGGGCGCAGGATATAGATGAAGTGAGCTTGGATGTTGTGCTGCTTCGCTACAAGATTCGTACATCAAATTTAGAGCCAGCATATTCCGACTCGCGTAATCGTATTAATAGCGTGGCGCCTTACAGCATATATCCTTATCAAGTTAATAACGAATGCAGAACGCCTGCGTGGGCGCGGGCAAACGTGACGTAAGTGGTGAATGAGCACTGTGTAGCGTCAGAGTATTGTCTGCGAAGACATCCGATACACTGCTAATATCAATCTGGCAATTTGTTTGCCGGTGACGTCGCAGTTGATTCTTAAATACATCGTGATTATTGACATCTTGAAATATGATCTGGCAACTCAACTTGCTGTGACCATAAGATGCAACGAAGCTGCAGCGATTGTGTTTCTTTTTCACTATCTTTACGGCCACCTCCTTCGCGATTAGTATCATTTAGGAGCATTCCTGCGTTTTGTGATAGGCAAGAGTACGTGTAGGATGACGATAATGGATTTAGAGAGTAAACTTCTTCTCCAAAAACCAATGTGTATCGATAGCAGCAGCGTGGACTTGCCCTTGTACTTCGATAAAGGCACGGTACGAGCTGGTAGCTATTTAGTATGTTACATTTAGGCATAAAAAGGCCAAAAATGTATATTTAACTCACTTGCTACCTCGACTGCTGCCAACGTCTATCTCACTTGCTGCTGTCGAGCCTCTTCCGTAATACAAGGACGTGGGGCATTTTTTTATTTTCCAATTAGTTGGGGGCATTTTTTATTTTCCAATTATCTGAGGCATTTTTTTATTTTCGTGAATAAATGGGAAATTTTTTCCTTGTCAGAGGTAGTAATACCTCAATGTTCTGATTCACGGTGGTATAATTGAATACCGTTCGCTTCAACAACAATAATATTAATATTTTACTCAATGTCAATACAGTAAAATGTCGAAATATATCCATGTAACGGCTCATTTCGTAGAGTTTTACACGAGCGCTACGTCACAAGTAGCAGAGTCATGTCTTTCGGGTCATCAAAGCAACACTGACCTCCAGAGTATCTCCTACTATCACCTTCAGTATTGGTAATTAGTCATCCTTTCAAAACTGCACATGTCGTCCAACGGTCTGCGTAAAATGTACGCTGGCTCTCCTACAGATATCGCCATGAGCGCAAGGTTACAACTATACTTCGATTGTTCATTGCGCGCACCTTGTTGTTCCCAGCAGAGCACAACATAGTTTCGGAGTACAACACACTTTCGCCCGTATGGATGCTGTTTCAATTGCACATTACAAAGGACATAGTTCGCGAATCCAGGGCTACCGTCCGACCGTAATTGTGGAATTGTAGACGTGGTCTTTCGTCATGGCTATTCCTAACAGCTGTCGATATTGATCTGTAACCTTCATATTCGTGCAAAAAATGCTAGGTGACGTGAGGCGAAAGGGTCTGATCTTCCAGTCACTGTATAATGCCATCAATCAGTAATCGGTTCGACTAGATAGTTTCTTGACTCAGCCGCAGTATTCATCGAGGCTCCAAAAAACAAGAGCTCAAATTAGTTGCTTTCATACGAAACGAATGCGAAAAGGCCTGCGACAGGATTGTTCCACCAGCTCTGTCCCTATTTACTTATCGGCTTAGTGACCTTGGTGTGAACCCCTACGAGCTCACCACAATGTCGACTCCTAATTTGAGACGGGTGCGCCTTCCACACCCTGTGGATAGTGTCGCCACCACTCGTATCACAACCCTCGTACCTCACTACCCGGACAGAAGCGTTCCGTTACAAGCTATTTGCGTGCGAATTCTACCTGACTGATGTATCCTTGACGTTTACGTGCATCTGTGTAAGCTCGTTGACTTTCAATTGCCAGATTCTTTTCCGACGACTACGTGTGTGACATGGGCACGTTTCTCAACGTAATTCGTAATTGGCTGAGGACGATGTTTGTGCTTTTCAAACGTCAAGGAGACGAGGCTCGCAGGTGTGGCAAAAGTATCTCTACTACACTTTGTTGCGCATCCTGATAATGACAATTATTCCCACGTGCTACTGATAGCCATGCCAGCCGCCTACCATAACATCATCGCTACCATCTCTGTACAGCGCGTCCGATGCTTTGTTCGTTAGCTCATCTACTACGCATGCAGATCACGCACTACGACGCGTCTCTGTCACTCGTCAGCAGTGTTCATGGCGACGAGCACAGAAGAAATATCAATGCTACTTCCATTTGCCATCTTGCCCTGTAACGCTGCCCTGTGACTGAACACAGATGAAGCACAGTACCTGAAGCACTACTTGTCTCACAGGTTTTATCAAAAGCCCCCAGACGTAGTGTCTGCACTCGTTGCTCGAACCGAAAGCCGTCGAATGGCGTGCTGAAATCGATGGCTGTGCCTATCCAATGGACACATGTTTGTTCTACTTATCCAGTAAGAGGACCGGTTGTGAGAAAGTAGGCTCGCACGACACGACAAGACGGCCTCGTCTGGCAAAGCCAACATGCGCCGAACTGAGTGCACGTAAAGACTTGCGACGGCCCTGATTGTGGACTGTGCGGCCACAGTCAGAGCAACAGGAGAGCTGTTAGCCGCAGAGAGACTGGATTTGGCAGCCATTGATCGGTCCACGATGTTTAGAATCTGGAAGACTCACCATCGACGGAATATGAAGAGTGATGCAATATGACCGGAGCCATGACAGACCACGTGATTGATTACTGATGGCTACAGGCGCGTCACGACTGGGAGCGTCAAATGCACGCATTGTGTCTCGTCTCTGTCACGTGCACTGCGATTTGATCAAATGATTTAGCTTCGATCAACTATAGCTCGCTCACAGAACTTTCTTACCGATGCTTCATGTATTTGTGCGTCGACAAAGCGTGGGAAGAGCACCCGAGTGACGTCACATTTTCGGTGATCGTCGAACATGAAACGGAGGCGTTGCTTGAGCAATAGTGGAATCAAAGCAACCGTTTGACAACGTTATCGACCCTTTGACGATGTTATTTTGAGTCGTAGAAAGCATTCCATCGACTACTACTACTACTACCGTCAAGTGCTTCGGTTTTGCTGCCTGCATTACCATCTCCGCCAGTCCGACCTACGCACACGTATGTGTACGTTCTGCGAAAATAAAATGGGTGGGGAGCATTGAAATATTGAGGATCTGACAGTATACACCGCAGGACAGCTGCGAGTCCTGACGATGACGCGACTTGAAGTTTGACCTGACCTCTGTATGGCCGATATTTGAGCGTGTTCATTGATCAAAATCCCATGCCTTTCATCCGCCACGAGCGGAGCAGCAGTGTCCTCCCTCCGCCATTGCATTCCGCAACTTGAGCCGCAGGGGAGACGACGCCTCGACACGCACGAAATGGTGGCCCAGGAAGAACCACCCGCTGGCCCCGTGGCCGTGCCCAACGACGCACTGTCTGCGCCCCGCAGCGACAGCAATCCACTCACCTACGCGAGCATGGAGGAGTACGTGCGTCTGCAAAAGGGATCGCGTGCCATCACGTCCGTGCTCATCGCCAACAACGGCATTTCAGCCGTCAAGGCCATTCGCAGCATCCGCAGCTGGAGCTACGAGATGTTTGCAGACGAACACGTCGTGAGCTTCTTTGTCATGGCCACACCGGAGGACCTCAAGGCCAACGCCGAGTACATTCGCATGGCCGAGCACGTCGTCGAAGTACCCGGCGGGTCGAACAATCACAACTACGCCAATGTCTCGCTGATCGTTGAGATCGCCGAGAGGTACAACGTCGACGCTGTGTGGGCGGGATGGGGCCACGCCAGCGAGAACCCCCTGCTGCCGGACTCGCTCCTTCAGACGGAGCGCCAGATCATCTTTATTGGTCCCCCAGCCAAGCCCATGCGTGCTCTAGGCGACAAGATCGGCTCGACTATCATCGCTCAGAGTGCCAAGGTGCCCACTATCGCCTGGAATGGGGACGGCATGCAAGTCGATTACAAGGAGCACGACGGCATCCCCGACGAAGTCTACAACGCGGCTATGCTGCGCGACGGCCAGCACTGTCTCGATGAGTGCAGGCGCATTGGCTTTCCCGTCATGATCAAAGCTAGCGAGGGTGGAGGCGGCAAGGGCATTCGCATGTGCCACGAAGAATCGCAGGTCCCCAGTGCGTGGGAGGCCGTGCGTGGCGAAATTCCTGGATCGCCCATCTTTGTCATGAAACTAGCGCCCAAGTCACGCCACTTGGAAGTGCAGCTGCTGGCCGACACCTTTGGCAACGCCATCGCTCTTAGTGGCCGTGACTGCTCTGTGCAGCGTCGCCACCAGAAAATTGTAGAGGAAGGACCCGTGCTTGCGCCCAGCGAGGAGGTGTGGGAGACGATGATGCGCGCCGCGACTCGTCTTGCCAAAGAGGTCGAGTATGTTAATGCTGGCACGGTCGAGTACCTGTTTAGTGAGCTACCAGAGGACAACGGTGATTCCTTCTTCTTTCTGGAGCTGAATCCGCGTCTACAAGTGGAGCATCCGGTGACGGAGATGATCACTCACGTGAATCTGCCGGCGGCTCAGTTGCAAGTGGCGATGGGCATCCCGCTTTACTGCATCCCGGATGTGCGTCGTCTCTACAGCAAAGACGCTTTCGAGACGACCCCTATTGATTTTAATACGGAAAAGCAAAAGCCCCCGCATGGCCATGTGATTGCGGCGCGCATCACGGCGGAGGACCCAAATGCTGGCTTCCAGCCGACCAGCGGTGCTATTCAAGAGCTCAACTTCCGCAGTACACCCGACGTCTGGGGTTACTTCTCGGTGGATTCGTCCGGTCAGGTGCACGAGTTCGCCGACTCGCAGATTGGTCACCTGTTCTCGTGGAGTCTAACTCGTGAAAAGGCTCGTAAGAACATGATTCTTGCGCTGAAAGAGCTGTCCATCCGTGGCGATATCCATACGACCGTCGAGTACATCGTGAACATGATGGAGTCCGACGATTTCCGATACAACCGCATCTCGACGTCGTGGCTGGATGAACGTATCTCGCACCATAACGAAGTGCGTTTACAGGGTCGCCCGGACCCCCTGATGGTGGTTCTCGTCGGTGCTGTATGCTGTGCCTACCAGGCATCGAACACGCTTCAAGAGGAGTACGTCAGTCAGATCGAGCGTGGGCAGCTTCCCCACAACGACTATTTGTCGCAGCAAGAGTCGCTTGAGCTCATTTATGAGGGTATCAAGTACAACATCAAGGCGTGTCGCAGCGGTCCGATCCAGTTCACACTTTATTGCAATGGCTCGTACGTGCAGGTGGAGATTCGAACGCTATCGGACGGTGGATTTCTTGTCCTGCTAAACGGCAAGTCACACGTCGCATATGCTACTAAGGAAGCACAGGGTCTACGCCTTGTTGTTGACAGCCACACGTGCGTGTTCACTAAGGAGTACGATCCGACCCGCTTGGTGACGAACACGGCCGGCAAGCTTGCTCGCTACTTAGTAGACGATGGCGCTAGTCTGCGTCGCGGTATGCCGTACGCTGAGATCGAAGTGATGAAGATGTACATGCCGCTGCTGACGCCGGAAGCCGGTGTCATTCGCCTGCTAAAGTCTGAGGGTGCCGTCCTGGCGCCGGGCGATTGCATTGCTACAATGGAACTTGACGATCCATCATGTGTAAAAAAGTCCGACGTATACATGGGCAAGCTTCCGTCGTCGGAGAATACGAATGGAAACAGCACTAAGGCCGTTCACAAGATGCGCAAGGCGTTGGCACTGTTAAAAAGTGTGTTGCAGGGCTACTTCGCTCCGGAGGACCTGACACAAAAGGCACTGACCGACCTGTTCCAAGTACTGAAAGACCCTCTTTTGCCTGTGGAGGAAATTAAAGAGGCTTTGTCGTCGCTGGCTGGCCGGATCCCGCTCGATGTGTTTGCGAAGATCACGGACAAGATTCAGACATTCAAGAAAGCAGTGGTTGAGGGACCTACGGCTACTCACGAGTTCGACGTGGCGGAGGTAGTTGAGATTCTTCACGAGCACAAGAAGACGCTCACGACGGATCGTCAGCGCTCAGACTTTGAAGCCTCTGTGGTCAAACTATATGACATTGCCGCGAAGTACTCGGGCGGTCTACAATCTGGCCAGGAGACTGTGCTGACAGAGCTGGTCAACGAGTATTTCATGGTTGAGACCGTGTACGCGAATTCGCACAACGTCGAAGATGTAGTGATGGCTCTACGTCAACAAAACGCAGCTGATCTGAACAAAGTTTATGCAACCGCCCGTTCCCACCAAGCACTGGAGGCAAAAAACAAGCTACTGCTGCAACTCCTTGTCCAGATGGCCCGCGACACGCCATGCAAGTCGATGAAGGCGTCAGCATTCGTGCCGCTTCTTGAGAAGCTTGCTACACTCAAGGAAAAGCAGTACTCGCTAGTAGCTCTGGAGGCACGTCAGCTCCTGATTGACAACAAAATGCCGTCATACCGCGACCGTCTCAGCCAGGTGGAGAGAGTGCTCAAAAATTACATTGCGGACGAGTCATCGACCGGTCTTGCTACCGCTTGCAGTGACCTTCTCGATCAGTCGCAGCCGCTCTTTGACCTGCTTATCTCGCTTCTCGATCACGAGGAGCAACGGGTCCGCGAGTTGGCTCTTGAATTGTATGTGCTGCGCGTGTACCGCTCGTACGTTATCGAGTCGATGGAGACGATGACCTTCAACGATATTTTTGCGAAGACGTTTCAGTTCCGGTCGCCCGTCGTCGACGCACTGGCCGTCGGAGTCGCCCCCGCTGAAAGCTACGATGACCTGGCGAGTCTACTGCGTCGCAACAGCTCTGCTAGCTCGCTGGACTTGCACAACTCAGACAGCGGCGAAGAGCGGGAATCGGTTGAGAAACCGCCTGCCAAGCCGGTCGAGACCTATCAGAAGATCTCTGCGGACTCCGAGCGCCATGGCGCTATCGTTCGTGTCGCAAATTTAGCGACGTTCACGACGTCGTTCGCGGACATTATGACCCTGTTCCCACTGGCGAAAAAGACGTTATCGGTGCGCAGGGACCCGCTCGTGAACGTCCTGCACATCCTCTTGGTGGACGAACACTTGGACGAGACGGATTTATTGCAACAGGCACAGTCCTACCTCAAGTCGGTGGACGAGGACTTGCGTGCGCACGACATCCGTCGCGTGACGTTTTCTGTGCGCCCACAGAACATCGAAAACGTATCCGTGCACAATGCTGACATGGCTCTGTACCCAAGCATTTACACGTTCCCCGGTCGCCTCAAGTACAGCGAAGACAAGATATTGCGCCACATCGAGGCGCCACTTGCTTATAAGCTGGAACTGCGTCGTCTCCAGAATTATAGCGTCACCCCGTTGGCATCGGAGAACAAGAACGTGCACTTGTACCTGGCCAAGGTAAAGGAATCTGACGCGCACATCGTGACCGACCGTTTCCAGCGCATCTTCGTCCGTGCTGTCGTGCGTCAACTTGACCATGATGGAAGTGGCTCTCGCTCGCAGTACGACGCCTACCCAGGCCCAGAGCGCTCACTCGTTGACGCGTTGAACGCCCTAGAAGTGAATCTGGCCAATCCTCTTGTGAAGAAGTCGTCGCTATCGACGAAGAACAATCACGTGTACCTGAACATTCTGCCGCAGGCTATCGTGGACCCGCAGTACCTTGAGGGCGTGATTCGCATTCTAGCCTACCGCTACGCCGAGCGCTTGGAACAGCTGGGCGTATCGACAGTAGAGCTGAAGATCATAGCGCGATTCAACAGCGAAGCAACAGCGATCCCTGTTCGCCTCGTGGCAGAGAACCCTACGGGCTACGTGGTTCGCGTGCAGGCGTATGTCGAAGCTGCTGGTCACGACGAGCCAATCTTTACTTCCATTGGTGACGAGACTCACGGTGAGCTCGACGGAATGCCAGTCACGACGCCGTACCCTGTCGTGTTTCCGTTCGACAAGAAGCGGCAGATGGCAAAGGCGATGTCCAATACGGTGTACGTGTACGATTTCCTCGAGCTTATTGAGTACAATCTGCTACGTCAGTGGCGAAAGTACGTGCAGCAGCGTACTCGCGGTGGCGGCGCGAAGATCACCATTCCGAACCTGCTCATGGAGGCGCGCGAGCTCATTCTCGATGCGTCGGGTAAGGCTCTCACTGAGACGTCACGCCCTCGTGGTCAGAATGACATCGGCATGGTGGCGTGGCTGCTGACGCTGTACACTCCAGAGTTTCACGACGGACGTGAAATCATCGTTATTGCCAATGACATCACGTTCAAGGCTGGCTCCTTCGGTACTCGCGAAGACACGCTGTTTGACTTGGCGTCAAAGCTGTCTCGCTCGAAAAGTATTCCTCGCTTTTTCTTTTCTGCGAACGCCGGTGCTCGTATCGGCATGGCCGAGTCCATCAAGGCTTTGTACAGGATCTGCTGGAAAGACGACACAAATCCAACCAAGGGCTTCGAGTACCTGTATCTCACGGCTGAAGATTACAAAAATGCGTCGTCCGAAGGCTCTGTCAACGCAGAGCTGCTGGTCACCAGCTCGGGCGAAGAACGCTACGTGCTTAAGGACATTGTGGGTCGCGAGGTCGATCTGGGCGTAGAGTGCCTTCGCGGCAGCGGAACAATTGCTGGTGAAACGGCGCGTGCCTACAAAGATGTGTTTACACTAACGTATGCCTGCGGGCGCAGTGTCGGTATCGGCGCCTACCTGGTCCGACTAGGCCAACGCACTGTGCAAAACGCTACGCACTCGCCGATCATTTTGACGGGTTACCAAGCACTTAACAAGCTCATGGGCAAGGAAGTGTACACCTCGAATGACCAGTTGGGCGGCGTGAAGATCATGCACACCAATGGTGTGACGCACTTGACGTCGAAGAACCACCTTTCGGGCATCTACTCGATTCTCGAATGGCTGAGCTTCGTGCCGGCGGTTCGCCGCGGTCCGCTGCCTATACGTGACTTGACGGGAATGGACGAGCTTGAGCGCACGGTGGATTTCTGTCCCAAGGACAAGGGTACGCAGTACGACCCGCGTGCGCTACTGGCGGGTAAGATTGACGACGTAACGGGTACGTGGGTATCGGGACTCATGGACAAAGATTCGTTCCGTGAGACGCTTGCCGGCTGGGCGAAGAGTGTGATTGTCGGGCGTGGCCGTCTCGGTGGCATTCCGTGCGGCGTGGTGGTCACGGAGGTTCGCACTTCTGAAAAGCTCATTCCGGCTGACCCGGCGGCGCCTGCGTCGCAAGAGAATCTGGTGCAGCAGGCCGGTCAGGTGTGGTTCCCGGACTCGGCTCACAAGACGGCTACTGCCATCAGAGACTTCAAGGGCGAGGACTTGCCGCTTTTTATATTGGCGAATTGGCGTGGTTTCTCCGGTGGTCAGCGTGATATGTTCGACGAGGTGCTGAAGTTCGGTGCTGCCATTGTGGACGGTCTTGTCGGCTACGAGCAACCCGTCTTCGTGTACATCCCGCCATTTGCTGAGCTGCGCGGTGGCGCCTGGGCTGTGGTGGATCCGACCATCAATGAAGGTGTCATGGAGATGTACGCGGACCCGCAGGGTCGTGGCGGCGTGCTGGAGCCTGCTGGTCTCATCGAAATTAAGTACCGCAAGAATCAGCTTTTGCAGACCATGCATCGACTTGATGACAAGCTCAAGCTACTCACCGCCCGTCTGGCCGAGCTGCCGCCGACAAAGAAGGAGACCGAGGGTGCTAACATTGCGGCTGAAATCAAGGCCCGTGAGGATACGTTACTTCCGATCTATGTGCAAGTAGCCACGGAGTTCGGTGATCTTCACGACACGCCCGGTCGCATGAGGTCTGTGGGCTGCATTCGTCAAATTGTACCCTGGGCAAACTCGCGGAAATTCTTCTACTGGCGTTTGAAGCGCCAACTCGCGGAATTCTCGCTGCGCCGCCAGGTTGTGGCCGCCAGTACCGGTGGTCCCCGCTCTGCGACGTTCGTCAGCGCCGAGCACATTCTGAAGGGCTGGTTCACGGAGGCTGTGAACGGTGGCCGTGTGCCTCGTCAACAGAATGTGTCGGTGTCCGAGCTTTGGTCGCACAATGACTGTGATGTGCTTCTGTGGCTGTCGAGTGACAAGGAATGGATCGCTTCACGCGTGGCTGATCTTCGCCAGGAGCAGATGGCCTCGCAGGTCGTCGAAATCGGCCGCAAGGACCCCAAGGCTGCGGTGGCAGGCATCCTGGAAGTGCTGAATCTACTGAATGACAAGGACCGCGAGGAGGCCATCGCTGCACTGCGTCGTGGTTCGATTTTCCACAAGTAGATTGTGCAGGTGACGCGCATGGGATGGGTTAGAGACAAACTGGTTTGGTCATGAATGTATTGTTTAATGACTTCAAACGGCTTGGACTGATCCTCGTTCCAGCTGCGACTCTAGTACGTGTCTTTGTTTGATCTTAACGCTGCTTGACAAACTCCTGGTATCCCGGCGGACCTGACATGGAGCGTTCAAGGCCCGCCAAGTCAGCCACCGACTTCTCCGACTTACCCAGAATACTGATGTCGTGAAATGGCGTGATGGTCGGCACATGAGAGCCGATTTCGCCCTTGACTTCGCGAAGCTCGCTGCAACTTTCCTCTTCCTTAATGCGAGCCGAGGATGGCGGTGCAACGGACTCAGCCTGATCGTTGGCCTTCTCGGCAAGCACCAACGAGCGCTCGTGCATGTAATTGCTCCAGTCGAGCTTTTTTGGCTCCGCTAACTTTCCCAGCTGTGACGAGTACTTCTTGACGAACTCGCGCACTTCCTTTTGTAGCTCTGCGCGCTGGCGTGGAAGCTCATCTTGTGTCGCCTTGTACGTCGGCAGAAGGCGATAAAACAGAGGCCGGACCGTCTTCAGCTCAATCATACCTGCCTCTACGGAGCGAACTCCAAAGAAGGAGAACACAGGGAGCGATACCATGAGCAGCATGATAGACGACCAATACCAATCCGTGAAGGCAACAGCCGCAACAAGGTACATGAACCACAGCAGCGGCACAGCCACGATCGAGAGCTGAATCTTCTTGCTGAGTATCACGTCGCGCGCCAGCACTTTCACCTTGGACCCCTCAAGTGCTTTTTTCTGCGCTGTGTTAGCCACGTACCGTGCCAGGAGACCCACAGGTGCATTAAGAATAAATGACGGAATGGAGGCCAGCAGAAGAATCAGCAGACCATACAACGCCGAGCCCAGCACGTCATGAATGGTCCACCACGGGATGTAGGGCACTTGGTGGTCCTTGAGGCCCATCTTCTGCAGCGCCTTGTAGTATGTGTCTAACTTGTGTCGCAGAACTGCAAGATCTTCTTGCGCTTCGGGCACATCGCGCAGCACCTTGTAACCCTCGGCAAAGCGACGGTTCAAATCCTGCGTCTCCTTGGCGGACAAACGAACGCCCGAGCGCTGGAACAGACGACGGGCAGTCAGAACCTCCTGCATGACACCGTAGCTTGGTGTCGTCACGATCACCGACCGCATGCTCTCCTCCACACGGTGGAGAAAGCTGTTACATGCCACACGTTTGTCCTCCCCGTACTTCTTCATTAACTCTTGGTCCACTGTGATCGGGGTGCCAAACTCTACCGTCACACGTCCACGAAAGCGGTGTCCACGAAAGTAGTTCAAGCCCACAGGCACCACGGGTACGTTGATGTTATACTTGTCCTTTACACCAAGCGCCATGACGGCAACACCAGCCTTGAGCGGTAGCAGGTCAGTCCGGTCATGTGAACCTCCTTCCGGAAATATACCGATGCAGTTTCCACGCTTCAAGTGCGCGTACACCTTGGCGAACGTCACAGATTGGTCTACACGCTTTAGGAGTTCAAACGCGGTGTTTTCCAGCACCAGTTCCCCATTACCTTTCTTCATTGGTGCGCTCAGCAACACGTGCGTGTCGTCCAACACCTCCACAACCTTAACGGGTGAGCCCGAGTCCTGGACACTCTTTCCCCGATATCGTATCTGGTCGCCCGACGCCATCTGCTTAGTGAAGCTGGTGCCTTCACCCTGTACGAGCCATTGGGGCTTGCAGCTGTTCGCACCACCGCTAGACGAGCTCGCAGGAGTCACGGCTTCTCCACTGGTCAGCTTGACCTTGCCCACGCCCACGGCCACTGAGTCTTGGGGACGCACTACCGGGATGCAGCCCATGATGCGGGCCAAGTGACCCACGACAGGCAAGTGCCACGACTTCTCGGCGATCATAAAGCCCACCTTGCGAGGACTAGTCATCATGACGACGAGACCGTCCACGAACTGGTTGGCATGATTGCCCGTAAAGATGACGGGACCCTCAGTGGGAACGTTGTCCAGGCCAATGAGGTCCACGCTCTTGAAGGAGATACTGAGGATGCTGTTCAGAAAGACACGTGTAGAGCGGTAGACGACATCGGCCGCGTTGTGAAACAGCAAACCCAGCATCATGCTCACTGCGAACAGGCCCCAGTAGTAGGACGGAAGACCTAGAAACTTGCTTACCGCTTTAATGGGACTGTATGCATAGAGAGAAAGAGAGTGTTGGGTTGCGGAACACGTTAATACAACGTCGGATGCAACGTGTATGCATATGTGGTGCGAAGGACAGAACGTACTTGAGCGAGTCAACAGATAGCATGAGCAGTAGGCACAGCGCCACGAACTGTGTCCACGTATCATTAAGCACCTCTTTGTTATGGAACTTCATGCCGAAGACGAGAGGGCAGGCCTTTGACCTTCTTTCCTGGCAGCCAGGCAATTACGATGCTTAGTGTAAATCTTGAGGTCTGCTGGGGGATCGAGGAATGATCAGGCGCTTCACCACAAAATGATATGTCGAGTGAGGTTTCGATACTTCTACAAAGTCTCAGATGCACAGGATGCACAACACTATGATGATCTGGTGGCAGTAAGTATACAGCGATATGACGTATGATCTTTTTGGTGACACAATTATGTGCCGAAAATATCTACTCCTCGATCTTATCAATACATTACCTGCAGCAAGTAGGTTAGAAACAGTGTGGAGTTTAAAAAATCGCTTGATTACCCGAACCGTGCGCATTTTACATGATAGTCGCTTCATCTATCGTTTTGGTTGGACTCGTTTGAGCCCACGAACACGAAATGGGGGGGGGCACGAGAGCATCATTGACAGATTGACCCCAAACTTCTGCACTGCACTGCAAGCACAATCACATACTCATTTTAGCGGGTGAGTTCTTAACATGTCATGGGTATAGTAATTTAGGAAAATAAAAAATGCCACATTTAATCACGAAAATAAAAAAATGCCTCAGATAATTGGAAAATAAAAAAATGCCCACGTCCTAGTATTACGGAAGAGGCTCGACAGCACGTTTGCAGCAGTCGAGGTAGCAGTGAGTTAAATATACATTTTTGGCCTTTTTATGCCTAATTGTAACATACTAAATAGCTACCAGCTCGTACCGTGCCTCTATCGAAGTACAAGGGCAAGTCCACACTGCTGCTATCGATACACACTGGTTTTTGGAGAAGAAGTTTACTCTCTAAATCCATTATCGTCATCCTACACGTACTCTTGCCTATCACAAAACGCAGGAATGCTCCTAAATGATACTAATCGCGAAGGAGGTGGCCGTAAAGATAGTGAAAAAGAAACACAATTGCTGCAGCTTCGGTGCATCTTATGGTCACAACAAGTTGAGTTGCCAGGTCATATTTCAAGATGCCAACAATCAGGATGTATTTAAGAATCAACTGCGACGTCACCGGCAAACATATTGCCAGATTGATATTAGCAGTGTATCGGATGTCTTCGCAGACAATACTCTGACGCTACACAGTGCTCATTCACCACTTACGTCACGTTTGCCCGCGCCCACGCAGGCGTTCTGCATTCGTTATTAACTTGATAAGGATATATGCTGTAAGGCGCCACGCTATTAATACGATTACGCGAGTCGGAATATGCTGGCTCTAAATTTGATGTACGAATCTTGTAGCGAAGCAGCACAACATCCAAGCTCACTTCATCTATATCCTGCGCCCACCACACTACTCTTGAGAAGTGCCTATCACGTCGAGAATCATGATGCACCCACACTTCAAACAACTCAAGGGTAGCATCCACAATGAAAACAACAGCAGCAGCAACAACAACAGCAGTAGCATCACCAGTAGCAGCAACAACATCAACAACAGACACTGAAAGAACAATACCAAAAGCGATAACATCATTATCAACAACATTGGCACAGACCGACTGGGGCTGGCCGTGACCAACCTCCGCCCTGTTTGGGGCCGGGCCGCGGAGAGGGTTCTGCAACTGGTGGCTGCAAGGGCAGCGCGCCCGCGGCAGAACCCTCTCCACGGCTTCCCGAACTGGGCGGGGGTTGATCACGGCCGTAAAATGGTAAGTGAAAACGATTAGGAACGTGTGATTTTATTTGTGCCACACTAACTTGAGTATATTAGGACGTGAGGCATTTTTATTATTTTCCAATTGTCTGGGACATTTTCTTCATTTTCCGAATAATATATCAATGTGTGTATTGCCTTCGTTGACAATATTTATCAATATTACCTGGCCAAGCAAAGTTGGATGGAATATTACCTTCCAGGGTAATATACTTGACCGCTCTACCTTTTGGTTGATATAGGCCATGCTATCAACCAAATGAATCACCAATCGCTCCTAAACGCGCGCAATGTATGGTAAGCGAGTAATCGACATTGTATACTTTAGTCTATTATGGTTAAAGTAAGACGAAGAATGTTGATCAAAAGAAACATAACTACATAATACAATTCTACTTTCCCCCTACTCTTAGCATCCTCGGTCCGGCTTTCTTCCTCGCGCTTCATCAACGCTCACGTGTACGTGACTTCCGGGAGAACGCACGCTTGTATCGAAAGACGTGCAAGGGACTACCAGTAGTTGGTAAGAGCGTGCCCCGTTACATCTGGTAGCACTTTGTGGTCTTTTCAACGACCACGATGTCCTCATCGAACATGAACATGTTCGAAATTGAGGAAAGCTTTTAAGACACACGTGAAGGATTTAACCATTTTGGTGATGTCAAATGGAGTGCGGTAGAACGAATGAGTATTTCCGGTGGCGGAACCGCCGTTAGCGCCATGTTGGAGGCTCTTGACAGAGACCAACCACATGTCGATTTAGCAAATTTTCATCGAAACGAACTTGTCGCGAAAGAAAAAAAGGTAGCATTGCTTCATCAGCAAGGCTATCAACAGTTCAAGCAGATGATAGAATTCGGTGCTCAACAGATAGAGCTGTTGAGACAGCAGAAATTAATGCTGTTGTGGGCGGGTCGACGCGTATGCGTCTACTCGTACCTATAAGATTAAATATATATTAGTGACAGAGAAGTCGAGAAAGACTCCCTGGTGAGATGGACAGTCGATTTGGACGACGACATAAGAGCACATCGTATCATCGACGACAAGATGCAAGTTGTATTCGCTCAGTCTAATTTTGCTGGACGTACGAATACTTGGGCCTTAGAATTCAAGCTCCACGACGACCCATATTTGTTTGGGTCGTTGGCAGTCTTCAACCCCGACTTAGATAAAATTTTGAGCCGCCACGAGCCGAGTTCCAGGCACTTGCTGAGATTTTAGGACTCAAACGGGGTAAGATCGACTTGCACGCTTACGCGCATCAAATACGACATCTGTCGAGTTGCATGAATGACATCCCCAAAGATGAACACACACAGATTTCTGTGTTCATCTAGGGTATTACGAATGGCCCCGTCAAGTTTCACATGCTACGCTTGAAATTGGAACCACTGGATCAAGCAATTTCAGTCGCGGAACACGAAGGTTTTTTTGATACAGGCTCGTACTAGTTATTATACCTATCTTCCGGCGAGACGACAGGAAATCGGAGGTCCAGAACCAATTAACCTCTGCTACATAGAGAGATATCGTACCCTCTCTCCAGGATACAAACGATTATAGAAATGCAATTGCTGTCAAAAGACAGGGCACTCCGCCTATGAGTGTGCTACCCCGAACCCAGTGTTACTTGCATAAGTACGTATCGACCATCAATCGGTCATTAAGGTTCCAAGACGCGGGTCCGAGTTGTTGAAAAATCGCAACAACGAGGCGAAACATCAAATACGGTCGGGGTTAGCAGGGGCGGAACGCCGTGCTGATCCAGCAACGTCAAGAGAACTTGCAGGTCTCTCGACGAAAGTCGTTTTTAGTAAAACACAGTCGTGTGTGTCTCGGCACCTTGTGATGAGGTTTCTCTCATTACCTTTAATGAACTGACAAAAGATTTGTTACTTCGTTCCCTTGTCGACTGTGGGGAGACAAACAATTGTTTTCGCCGCCAGTCACTAGAGGTCGTAGGATCAAGTTCGTTTAGAGCGTCATTCGACGATGAAGGGTTGCCTTGTAACAGGCGCATTGTAACGTGGTGAGCCTGTTACATTATATTACCATCGCTGACATGATGATAATAAAGAGCACTTGGTCTAATATTATCACTACAATCTCACTAAGTTCAGTGGTATTGTTACAGTGACCCAAGGGTCAACTCATTGGATGATATATCATTATATCGATAACCAATGGATGTTACACGCGCAATGGGCGGTGAGTAGAAGTCGCCATGAAATATGTACGCCAAACTAACTGGGCATCAGTTCTTACTACAGTCAGTGAGAACTTGCTACGCTGAAACGGGGTGAGGGACGCGATACCGTCTTACACTAGAAGAGCGTGAGGAAGCGCTCTTGATTAGCTCTGTTATTTTTTGCTATTCTTTAGAATTCGCACTAAGGGCGGATACGTTCCCTAGCGCATGGGAACATAGACCTACTTATTATTGACTAATTATTGGGTATGACACCCCAATAATAAGCCGATAATATATAGACGCGCAGTATCCGCTATTCGGACACTGCCTATACCAAACTATATGGAAGTATGCAATGAACCCTACAACTACTCAATAAAATTAGTTGCCCCATTACATACGAGCCCAATTACACCTGGCAGCACTTTGTCGTCCTCCTAAGGACCAAATCGATCTCGCATAACATGATCATGTTGAACGATGATGGTGACAGCTTTTGCGCCACGCGTGAAAGCTACTCCTATTTGAGTGACCTCTAGTAGAGCACGGTCGAATATATAAGTTTGTCAGTAGATTGTAATGATGTGGTGGAGTGGTAATCACCAATTCTTCGTGATCCCGACTCTTCAATGGCGACCGGACGACCGACCAAATGAGGGGGTACCTCGATTCCGTTCTCTGTGTCTTCTTGCTCACCTTGTGTACCCGTCGGTGGGGCGGGTCGCACTCTTCTTGGTGGACTTGAGTTGAAGCTGAACTTGACCGTTTTGGGGATAGGGGCTGATCGGGTGGAAATTCTTCACTCGGCCAAACGTGGGGTGGATAGAGTGAAAATTCTTCACTCGATCGCGTGTATACTTGGGCGCTCTTCCAGAGTCGTCTGTATCTAAAGGTGATGCTTGATCCGCTAGTCTTCTGGACACTTGATCCGTCTCGCGATCTTGAATCTGAACCGTTGGGTTCCCTGCGTCGGATCGCAGTTGGGGGGGATAAATGATGTTCCGCCTGGCCAAACAATTCAAAGGCGAAGTTTGTATCGACACAGGCCCGCCTCTATTCAACGGGAGGCCAGATTTCCTGCCCGGGAGAAGTCGACGCGTGTCTTTCGCTGC